TCTCTTTCTCCCTGGATGTGCCCATTCTAGACATTTCATAGAAATGGAATCCTAGCACACGTGGCCTTTGTGTCTGGCTTCTTTCAGCCCAGGCAGGCGGCTGTGTGTACGTGTGGTCTCTCCGTGCTGTTTGTAGGGCACAGTCCCAAGAAACTGCCTTTGTGTTGAAGATACTGGGGCCATAAATCTGCATTCCATAAATTAATGTGAGAATCTTAGGGATGGCTCCCAGAAGTTAGACCAGAAACTCATGGATTGATTGGTTCTTCTCTTCCTGTTCAAGATGACAACTGGAGCTTCACCATCCCTTAGCGCACCGGGCTGAGATTTCTTTGTAGGGGCCCGTCCTTGACCCCAGCTCTGTCTTCCCTGACATACCTTTCCTGACCCACCCACCCCCACAGCCACGTACATACCTTGTAGGGCCCTTGGCATGCATATCACACTGCTACCCTTGAAGAGGTGGGAAAGGGCTGGGCATGTGGGCGTGGGGAGAGGGCAGGAGGGCTGGTGGAACAGCCGGGAGAGGAACACGCATGCGAGGTCCCTGCATGGCTGCTTTGCCCCTCGTTGCAGGAGTCGCCCCAGGCAGCCTGCAGAAGGCCTTCCTCTGCTTGGGACCGCCCTCCCCAGGGCTGGCTCAAAATGGTTTGGGCCTGGGAGATTCCTGGAGACTGCCAAGAAAACAAAAATACTACTCATTACGAAGCCTGGGTCTATTTAATTTCAACAACCCGGTGATGAGAAAATGCATTTTGAGTACTTGATTTCTCAAGTTTTACACGACAAACTTGAACCCCATTGTGTCTGTCTCACTATATTCAAACCTGTGCAGTTTCCACACAGGAAAGCAAGCACATGGCTTGCACCCTGCCCTTAGATTCTCTGCACCTAGAAAGTCTGTTCCACGTGTTCTTGGATCTCTGCCCCCCACCCCTTCTTTAAAATACGGGCCTCTCTGGACCAGACGGTGCAGCCCCCTTTGCATGGCTTTGGGCTGAATGTCTGCTACAGAGTCGGAAAGGGATTAGAAATCGGGCCTTCTGTGGACAAGCTCTCTCATGTCCTTTCTGCAGCCAACAGGAAGGCCGGCTGTGCAGTCACATCCCTGCTAGCCTCGGAGCTGACCAAGGACGACGCCATGACTGCTCTTCCTTCTAAGGTGGCCAAGAACAGTGAGGGAATCCCCACAATCCTGGAGGAAACCAAGGAGTTGGTTGGCCGTGCAAACTAAGCTGGGTCCTGTGGCCACAGCAGCTCCCCGGGGCACCCCGGACTGTCTTGCCCTGCAGCCTGTGCCTAAAGGGTCACGGAAATAGTCCTCTGGGGTGGTTGCTCCCACTCCCCTGACCCTTCTACTCTGGCCTGCCGCGCTCTTGTGCGTCACACATGCTTCAGCTGCCTGGAGGCCCCCAGGAATGGGCAGTGGGGTGGCGGGGGAGGCCTGAGCCCGAGCCAGCCAGCCCTGGCCGTGTGTATTACCAAAGCAGGCTCTGTGGTTGCTGCCTTAACCCCAAGTGTCTCCTCTCTGTCACCGAGGCCTTGTCTCAGACCAGGCCCCACCTGCTCTCCCAGCTCCCGCCTTTCCAGTGGGCTTGCATTTCACCTGGGTCAATCTTGCTGGGTTTGTGCTTTTCTTTTGTGGTTTCTCCAGCTCTGAGAACAGCATGGGGCTTGTGAACCTTCGGGCTCTATCCCTCCTGTCACCTCTGCTCTGCTCTTCTCTCTCCTGGTTGTTATTTATTACTAGTGGTGTGGCAGTGGGAGCCATGCCTAGAGAAGTGGGGAGCAAACCCCACCCTTACTTACTGCATCTTCCTGGGAAGGGCCTCCCAGAACAAAAAGCCAAGAGCCTGTGGGGAGGCAGGGTACAGAGACATCATGGGACCTGTCCCCAGCCTGCTGCCATGTTTGAACACCCTGCCTCTGTGAACTCTACCCCTGCCCCAGGCTACCCAGCCACGGTCACTCCTCACACCTTCCCCAGAGCTTTGGTGCATCTCATCGGGAGTATGGGCTGTACTGTGACCATCCCAACACCTCACCCTCTGTCTCCAAGGAAATGGGAGGTGGAGCCTCCTGGCTGAAAATTGTTTTGCAAATGGATCTATTTTTATATGAGATTTTTTTTTTTTTAAAGAAAATATTCCTTCCCCCTTTCCCCTCCATAATGTAAGAGGCTCTGATGGCAGGTCCCAGCGACCCTGGGATTTCTCCCCACAGGCCTCAATCCTGAGCAAGACCCTGGACCTCCACGTCAGCCCTAAAGCCTTCTGGGCCCTTGAGGCCAGTGCAGATTCTCTCTCCCATTATATCCAGTTTTGGGGCAGGAGGAAGCTCTTCTCTGGTAGAGCTGGACCAGGCCTGAGAATAGTGGGAGCTCTGAGACCACAGAGTTTTTATAAATTTAATATATTTATCAAGCCAAATGTGCAAATGCTAACTGGACACTGGGCAAGGAAGCACACGAGCGCGGCCACACAGCATGCCCCGCTCCCTTCTGAACAGTGGGCAGGCCAAAACTGTTCAGTAGGCCCCACGCCAGGAAGCTCAGATTCTTTGCCCTCCTTGTGCTTTTAGCTTCCCACCACAGGTAGGGAGAGAGAATGACAGGGTTAGGGCTTGACCCAGGATGAGAGTTGTTGGAGCACAGGGGGAACTTAGCCGACCTAAGGGTTCCTACAGGGAGGGCTTCAGGCCAGGAACTGGGGTGCTGGTTGCTACAGCTGCCTGCGTGTGAAGGGGCAACAGCAGCTCCTTTGAGCTCTTCCCTGGAAGGCGGGGGGAGCAGGGAGGCTGCCTCCCTGGGTCCCTTCCTCCTCCTCGCTGACATCTGGGGCTTTGACCCTTTCTTTTTTAATCTACTTTTGCTAGGATGCATTTAATAAAAAATTAAAAAAAAAAACAAAATGCAAACCTTTTTCCCTTGCCCCTTGGGCTTCTGGGATGTCATCACCTCCAGTGTATTGGGTTTGTTTCCAACTGTTAATAAAGCATTGAAACAGTACTACCTTACTGCCTCCTTTGTGAGTTTAAGCTGTTTTCCAAAGCCCTGGTTGACCTAACAAATCAGTGTCAAAAAGTTGAAGGTACGTATAATGTGCCAAACACCCTGCTTCAGCTTCTGCCACTTGCATTTGTGGGCCCTAAAGAAATGGGGCCACAGTTCTGCCCCACCCCTGCCTCCACGTTGCTGCCTGGGGGCTTGCCCCCCCCACCTCCTCATGCCCCTGCTATGTGCCTCTCCTACTGAGGGAACCATTCACCCATCTCCCCTCTTCTATCTCCAACCCCCCCCCCCCCCCGCCAGCCCTTTTTGGTGGCCACAGACCACACTTGAGACTAGAGAAACACTGGGGTGGAAGGAAACCTGAGCCTGCCAGCAGAGGTCAGAAGCCAGAGGTCATGCTCCAGGCAACTTGCTGCTCAGAGCCACGCTTCCACACGTTGGGACCTGCACAAAGGAAACTTACAAGCTATGAGCAGACTCAATAGGGAGCAAAGGCCCGAAGAGGACCACAAAACCATTGGGACAGGCTCTAGACCTGGAAATAAAAGCCTTTTAAATAGCCCTGGAACCTGGGCAGCTGGCTCCCCATCTCGGCAGGGGGATGTGGGGGTGGGTTGCCTGCCTCCTTCTCCCCCACCGGAGGCCACGCGTTTCTGGCTCAGAGCTTTACAGGCGCACATACCAATTAGGGGACCAACCACAGCTGCTCACGTGCTCTGCCAGTCTACTGCCGGCCCGGAATAGAACCCAGGCAGCCAGCACCCCGCCCTCTGCAGCCTGGCGCGCAGAAACAAAACCCTGCTTGCATCGCGAACCGCGCGCACCACCCTTCCTCCCACGCAAGAGAGTCGCCTCCAGATGCCTAGTTGGAAGGCTTGGTTTCTATGACGACAGGCTGGGGGGGGGGTGAAGCTGGCAGAACATGTGACCTGGCTCTGAGCCGATGCGCAGAGGAAGCCCAGAGACAGCCTCCTTCCACCGTGCGGTTAGGCATCCCCTCACTGACTCCCCCCCCCCCCCGCCCCCGCCACCCCGATAACCCCAGTGGGTCTGTGTTTCTGTCCTTCCGCTCCGCCTTCTCCCCTCTGTACTTCCTGCAGCTCCTCCGGCTGCAGCAACCTCGAAGCCCACTGTGCTTCAAGGAAGCAGGCAGAGGAGGAGGGAAGGGGAGGACGACTAACTGAAGAGCGAATGGAAAAGGAGGGGGAGAGGGAGAAAGGAAGGAGGGAGGACGATCTGGGTCTGCGGGCAATCTCATTTCCTGCACACTTTTCAGTCCCCTCGACACCACGGCCCCCCTCCCCAGCGACAGGGATGAAACCTTCCAATTTCCTTGGCTTTGCTGCAGGGAGTGGGAAGGTGAATTCCAGATGGGTAAACTGAGGCCCAGGCTAGTGGAGAACCGCCTCCGGCATGCCCTCCCACTCACACAGTGTTCCCAAACTCACTAGGCAGCGGGGCTGGCGGGGAATGGGCAGAGGAGAATCCACCCTCCTCCGGAGAAGCCCACAAGGACGCTCGGGCTGTTCATTTTAGCAGGGAAGAGGCGGGAACTGAGGAAATGTCCCCCACCCGGTCTCCAGCCTTTCCAGCCGCTGCCAACGCACTCCCGCCCCCGCCCCGCAGCGTCCTCTTCCGCCGGGAGACTGGCGCCGGGAACCGGGAGCCGTACGGGAGACGGCGCGAGCGCACAAACGCCACACACCGACCTTGCGCTCCGAAACGCCCGCCTCCACAACAGACCCAGAGGCCGATTACACACAACGGGAGACCGATCACCGTCACTTGGACTGTTACGTTTGCACAACAGTGCTGCAAGCATCCACAGCCACACCTGACAGACACAGACTCACGGGCAACGACACAAAACCAGGACGCGCACACAGTCATCGCCTGGCGATCGCGCCCTTCAGTCCAGCACACTCCGCTTAGCTCGCCGCTTCCTCCACACATGCCAGGAGCCTCCATCCCTTACACAGAACCGTTCAACCTTTCAGAAGAAACCTTTTAATTGTTTTTTTTTTTCCAAAGAAAAAAAGCCATATAAATATTAGAGTATAAAACTTGCGTGAGACACAGGAAGGGGAGTGGGTGGGAAAGCTACGTGACTATGCGAAGAGAAGCACTTCTAGGAGTCAGTACCGGGGAGGGGGTCGCCGCAGCGCGAGGACACAGCACAAAACACAGCACGGGCCGCCGCAGGCGGATTCAAGGGCAGACGGCTGCGCGCAGCCCTCCGCCCACCCGCCCCCACGGAAAAGCACACCGCACTACACTATTGGCTATTCTACACCAGCCGAAAGAGGGAGGGGGCTCTACACTACCGTTAGGGCTGGGGTGGGGCTCTGGCGGGACTGGGGTGGGCCGAGAAAGGTCTATGCACAAGGAGGCACTGGGGGACTTTAACCAGGCTCTGGCCACTAGGGGGCAGACTTGGGGGGGGGCCTGGGCAGTGGCCTTCACAGGGAAGAAATGGCACCTGGCAGAATGAAGGAACAGAGGCTTGGGGAGTGCGGGGGCCCTGTGCGGGGGCCCTGGTCCGGGGCTGAGACTTCCTGTCCACGGCCCCAGCTCTAGCTCCATGCCTCCCCACCCCAAGGGCCAAGAATGGCCCAGCTGACCCTCCCTTGCTGCTGGGGCCACACTGCTGCTTCTACCAGGGGCACCTCTGGAGTACCCAGCACCCGCAGAGGGCCCTCTGACCTCTCCAGGGGACCTGGTCCTAAACACCCTCAAACCTTCCTTTGACTGTGATGCCCGCTGAAATCCACTGATGCTAAAAGCTCAGCCCAAAGTTTACTGCCTTCATGTGGGAAAACGAGGGTCCAGCCTGGTACTTGGTTCATGGCTGGAACTGGGGATCTGGCCAGTACCCTGGGGACATACAGAGCCTTCTACAAGACCCTGACAAACGGTAAGGCAAGCTTTGTCCATCCCCCACATCCACACCCACACCCTTCCCTTCTTTAACTTGCCACCCCATACTGTCTTAGAACATGCAACGAGGAGTCTCTCTTTTGGGGCAGGGGAAGTCACAGCATGCAGTGGGAACATCAAACAGTGAAAAACAGAACAAAAGACTGGTCCCGAGGGCTTTGGGAAGAGGCATGGTAGCAAAGTGCCCTCCCTGAATCCAGCAAGCATCAGTACCATGGGAATCGTGACCATGTCTCCCAAAACTTGAACTTGGTCTTGGGCTCTGGAAGGAGATGAAAGGACTGGCACCAAACCATGCTTTGGGGGAAGTCTGAGAACTGGAGAGGCCTACAAGTTATTATGCCCTTCCAACTCTTCAGAACTATGAGCCTTTTTAGGTCACCAGGTACCTCAACACCCCAACCACCTTCCTTGAGAAAGAGGGGCCGCTGAGGGGGGGGTGGGGTGGGCAGGAGGGAGGCCGGGGATGGTAGATGGGCCTGATTAAATTTGGAAGATGGCAGAGTTCAGCTGTAACTAAACGGGGCGTGATAAATGTTGTCTACACGAACCCCACTACCCCCATGGGCACAGCAATTGATTGGACGGGGGTTCCCAGCAGAACTCCCTTTGCATATTCAATCCCTTGGGGGCAGAGAGGGGGGTGTTGACTGGGCACTTGTTTCTGTTTCCCAAGGGGAGCATGGCCTGGATCCCTACCAGTATCCTGGGGGCGAGCCCTGAAAATCCGAGGCCGGGGTACAGGTAAGGAGAGACTGGGCTGGTCGGGGAGGGAAGCTGCCCTGTGGCTCTGGGCCCGGCCTCCACGTTACTTCTTCTCCTTTTTGCCTGACTTCTTCTTGTTGCCGTTGCCACCTGCAGGGGCCTTGCCGTCTCGCTTGCCGGCCGCGCTGGTCAGCGTGGCATTGCTGCCCGGGATGTAGACGTTCTGGCGGTAGTCGGGCACGTGCTGCAGGGTAAACTGAGGCCCGTAGCGGGCACTTAAGCCCATGGTGCCAGCGCCCCCTCCCAGGGTGGAGCTCCCATCAGCAGCTTCTGCAAGAGACAGAGGAAGGGTCCCCAACAGTCACTCTGTTAGAGCACAGCCAGTTAATGAAGGCCTGCCAAGCACCGGCCCCAACCCCGCCGAGCCCTGGGAACGTCCTCTCTCTTCGCAAGGGGCAGATGTAAGTGAGACAGGCCAGATTTGATTCCCAGCTCTCTTACCCACTAACTGATTTGGGGCAAGTCTACCTAAACTCCCCTATGTCTCCTCAGTTTTCTGATCTGTGAAACAGGTTAAAAGTAGCATCTGCCTCTTCAGGTTTTGGTTAAGGCTGACCAAAATTATGATGTATATAAAGCACCCAGAAGAGTGCCTATTACACGGTAAGGGCTTAGAACATGCTAGCTGTTACTTTTCTCAGGGCTGAGGTAAAAGCTATCAATTCTCGCCCTAACCCTTCTCCAGGGAGCCCCTCTGGTGGCCACACCGATCAAGAGCTCCTGGGGGGCTGTAACCAGGACCTGTTGGTCCTTCTACCCTCAGGCCAGCTCCCACAGCGTGGGTATTGGGCAGTTCTGTAGTTAGTGCGGGGTTAGGGAGTGCACGGGCACAGTGGCTTTCACCTCCCTAAGACCACCCAGCCAGACAGGGGTATTTATCCCCACTTCACAGATGAGGAAAGCAAGGCCCAGAGAAGGTAAAAGACCAACTCAAAGCCATAGCAGGTGGCACGGGTTAAAGCCGGGGTGGCTGCGTGTATTTAAGCATCCACTGTCCACTGTCGGGCAGAGTCACCACCACCTCCAGCAGCATGGACCCCGTCCCTCTGCAGAGAGCGGAGCGAGAGGGAAGGCAGGGCTGAGCGGTGTTCTAGGAGGCGAAGAAGATGCTCCTGGGAGCAGACTGCGGGTTACGATGCAGACACAGGCTCACAGTTTCAGAGCTGGGTGACACCAGAGGCCACCTCAAGCCCAGCTTCCCACTGGACCCAAGAAGAAATGGGGTCTAGGGAAGTAAAATGCAGGCTCCAGCTCCGCATCACCCTGGGCGCTTGTTGGAAAAGGAGACACAGAATCTGCATTTTACCAAGATTTCCAAGTGATTTTGATGCACACTGAAGGTAGAGAAGCGCAGACTCACTTACCTCACTGGGTTTTTGCGAGGCTTAAATGAGACAATGCTTGGTGCGTGCCCAGGCATGTGCTAAGTGCTCATTGTGAGGTGCGGCCGCATCAGCCTCACGGCCACACGCGGTGTGAGCAACTTCTACTCCACACGCTGCCTGACTGGGCCGGCAGGCAAAACCAGGACTTTCCACGCCGCAGCCTGAGCTCACCAGGGCTTCTGCGGGACTCGTCTGGCAGCGGGAGGGTTAAAGCCCCGGGAATTCCCGGCCCGGCTGGCAGATGAGCTCTCCTCCAGGCCTCTCTTTACTCCACCCTAGACCCTGGGAGTGGGCAGAGAGGGTGACTAAAGACACGGAGGCTGACTAATCCTGGGACACTAACCAGGGATTGAGAAACAGACTGGAACTATTTTCTAGACCAGCACCAGAGGGGGAGGGGAGAGGAGACAGGGACAGAGACAGGAAAGAGGAGCCCCCGTCTTTCTAACCTCCCCCCCCCTCCCCCGCAGCGCTCAGGTTTCTACAACCTCCATTCCAAGTCCCAAATCCCAGGATGTGAGGGCTTTGGGGGCACGTGTGAAAGAGAGGCTGGGTGGGAGGGAGCAGCTGCCCACTCCCTTCTCTTTCTCCAGGCTGGTCCCCTCCCCCAGCCCCTTCATTTCACTGACTTTTCCATGTTTTCCCTAATTAACTCCAGGAGGGAGCCAAGTTCACCCTCCCCTCCAGCATCCCTCATCCAGCCTGGGAAGGGAGGGGAAGGGGGCCCAGATTCAGCTTCAAAGAGCCAGGATTCCAGAGTGATTTAGGGGCTAAAGGGGAGAGACTTCAGAGGTGCCAGAGAGAGGGAGGGAGGGAGGGAGACACACACACACACACACACACACACACACACACACACACACACACA